ACCTTGTCGTAATTAAGCTCTTGCCCTTGAGCTTAAGCTCCTTAGAGGTTTTCCGAGGCACTGAAATTCCCGCATACCCGTCAACCTCTAATGAGGGGATTGCGGATGAAGTTTCAGGCTAGAAAGGAGCAATTAGGCGAATCGTCGACTCCAGCTCTTGAAGAATCTACGTACACTGTAGATAGATTCCCACATGTAGAACAATATCTCCTCAAGTACGATATCTCCTCCAAACTCAAAGCTTATTCGGAAAATTGGGTGAAAAATTCATCCACAGCTCTCAGTTATGTAGGCTCGTGTCATTGTTAAATTGTTGGACTTTAGTTGCCGCTTCGTTGCCTAAAAGATAAAGATAAAAGTAAGAAAGTAAAAGAAAAAGAAGAAGAAAACGGGAGAAATCAACCATCCAAGTGAATCCTTCAGCAACGTCGGCTGTCTCAATCCTGCTCAGTCAGAGGTAAGAAAGATCACCGGGACAAAATTAAACGACCTCATCATCATTAGAACGCGACCACCTAATTACCGGGAACGTCTTAGACGCGGATGACATCGTCGACGAACACAGACAATCGAGCCACCGAACAGAAGACGCGAGACACTCGCTCACCCCTACGAACCCTCGTCCTCGCCTCACCGTCCCTCACCGTCCTGTTTCATAGCCGGTTATATCCGTGTGACGAGCGAGTCAGAGGGAGGATGAGACGGATCCGCTCTTGTACACGGTGGAGCGGGGTGAAAGCTTATTAATGGGAGGGAGGTAGGTGAAAGGCCTAGAACAGTAGCTAGAAGAAGAACGGGGTATGACGCAGGCCTTGAGAGCTGCTGCTGCCGCTGCTGCTTCTGTTGCAGGTGGATGAGTTTGAGGGTGGATGGTTGGAGGGTGGAAAAAAAGTAACAGACTCCCCGCAAATAACCCCCACGATGTTGCCGGTAGGCGTGGCCCCGAATGTATGGTGATGGCAGCGTTCGACCAATGGGAATTCCTCGAGCAACCCCGGCCTCGGCCAGCCTGGTCGAATGAAAAAATATTGACCGTGGCGAGGGGGGTATTCTGCGGTCCATTTGGGGGTTGCGGAGGTGAAACACAACGTCGGACTGATTACCAACGGAGTGGCGAACGGGGTGCAAGGGAGAGCGAGGGGGGGGCTGAAACGGGTGCTGGATACCGCCGGGTGAATACCCCCCCCCCTCGTCACGTACGGGATCATTAGCCGGATATCCTTAGTCCTGCTCGCCGACCCTCTCTGATAGCGGTGATCCTCGTGCCTGACATCATTATCCTGGGACGCCGTGCAGCGCCAGCGCGGCGAGGCCATCCTTCGAGGCCATCCCTCGTCGTCGTTCCAGTTCGGCTCCTCGTGTTTTCACCCTTCTCTCCCGTGTGTTTGTCGATGTCGCGTCTCGCCACCAAACCCCGACCATAGTCGGGATCGTTCGCACGCTCGGTGATGTCGGTACGGCGACAAGCACTGTTCTGCGATCGTGTTACCTGTCTGTGACGTGTCGTTTCAACGACGTGAACGTGAACGTGAACGTGGTGGATAGGAAATTTGTTCGCAAACAGACGTACGAGTACCGACGACAAGGAGAAACTTGAAAATCTCCGAACTGATTTCTGGAAAATATGGACGATTCGTGGCGTGGTTTACCAACGTGAAATCTGCGAATGTCGAGATAATCGACAGACGCTGTTTGACATGAGAGCAGCTGGATTCTGAAGTTTGATCTCTGAAGACCTTGAACTTCGAGGCGCGTAAACGTAGGCGAGCGTTTTCGACAGGAGTATGGAGCCGAACGACCCGTCGGGAAGACTGACCGTCGAAGATCTGTCCGACTGCAGGAGCGAGAGCAGCCACTCGGAGAGCCAGTTGAGAGCCTTCCAGGACTACGAACGCATCAAGGAGCTGAACCTGTCTGTGGAGAAATCGAAGGAAGATCCTCCGATCGAGCCGAAGGACTTTCACCTGGGCTTGGCAGAACCTGGCAGAACCTCCATTCGCCCGTCGTTCGACGAGTTCGAGAGTAGTAACAGAAATCTGCCGTTGCCTCTGAACAAGGGCAAGGATTTCAGCTACGTGGCCGGCGGTTTGAACGAGATGGCCTATCATTTAGACAGATCGAGCGAGAACGACGAGTCCCTGGAAACGGCTAACCTCTGCAGGACCAAGAACGGCCCGACGACCAAGGATTTGCTGTTCAATCTTCGCGAGAACCGGCAGAAGAATGCTCACGCGACGTTGTCTCTCGATAGGTACGGCAAGGATTTGAACTTTGCCGTGTCGGAGAAGGACATCAAGGACTTTGGATTGCTGAAGAACTACAGCCTCGATCGCATGAAGGAGTTCAACCTGTCGCTGGACAGGATGAGGGACAGTCACATTGGCAACTTTGCCCTGGAGAGACTTCGAGGTGGAGCTGCATTGCTGGAAAATCCGCCGATCTTGGAGCACAGCGAGTTGAAGAGCATGCAGATGCAGCCGAGGAATCAGGATTTGGAGGCGATCGCGTTGGAACGTATGAGACGATCGCATCTGTTGGGGACCGATCTCTCCGCCCAGAATTTGTCCACGCAGCTGCCACATTCGCACTCTATCACGCAAATGCAGCACTCGCAGCAACAGCAACAGCAACAGGCCAAGTCGTTCACCATCGACGCGATTCTCGGATTGAGGAACAACTCGAGGGAGAAACGGGGCCAGCAACAACAGTACAGGAAGCATCAGGGTACTTGAAACAGCGTTTCTGCTTTTCTAAGCTGGCATTGCATGTTGCATGAGTCTTTCTAAGAATGCAGCGGTAAGAATTTACGTGCAGTCGTTTTACGGATTAATTTGTTATTCGCATTTAACGAATATACGTTATTGCGAGAGTTTCTCGTAGATCAGTCCTGTCAAACTTCAAGGGGTACGTTCCCCTTGCAAAACAAATGCAAACGCACGTCTCGCGACGCGTGAATCAATCGTGAGATCGTGAACCGCAAAATTCTCGTTAACCTCGTTAAAGTAACCCGAGGAATATCAGAAATCTCTCGGTGATTTTTCCATCAAATTAACGTCGTTGAGCGTTTTGAGTCTGACCATTTGCATCTCGAATTATCTTTACTAGAGATTTCAAGGCGCGCAATTATCTTGGATTTGACGTTTCGGTAACCTATCGAGCTTGCACTTCAAAAGCAATACATTCTGTTTTCCGTTCTCTAAAGAAATTGACTCTAAAGGAAGCAAGATCAAAGTAACGCTAACGCTTCTTTGAAAGAATTTACAAATATCGAAATATACCGAGGTAGAAGTAGAGAGAGGCACAGTTGTCGAATGTGGTTGAATGTCGGGATCGTAGGTCAGGAAGGCGGGACGAAAAACGGCGGTTCGAGCTCGTGTTCCGGCGGCGGCGGCGGCGGTGGCGGCAAGCTGAAGAGGGTGCGTACGATCTTCACGGCGGAGCAGCTGGAGCGGCTGGAGGGAGAATTTGCCCGACAACAGTACATGGTCGGGCCGGAAAGGCTGTACCTGGCGCACGCACTCAGGCTGACCGAGGCACAGGTGAAAGTGTGGTTCCAAAACCGGCGTATCAAGTGGCGGAAGCATCATCACGAGCAGCAGAGCCAACGTGTGCACGAGTTCCAGCGGTCGATGAACTCTTCGCTAGAGCACGAGGACAGCAACGAGACTGACAAATGGTGAAAGGAGTCCGCGTTCCTCGAACGAGAAGCGCCACTTCGTTTCCTCGTTTCCCCCTTGCTTCTTCCATCTTTCGATCCTAGAAACGTTCGGCTGCTCGCGTTCGGGGAGCTTGGCTCGATCCACCGCCACGGACGATCCTCTCCGACGCGTTCTCGCCATCTCTCAGAGAGATTCTCACCTCGTCCGTTAACTTCTGATACCTACCTGACCTTCTGATTCTTTCGCGGCGACCGAGAGGTCGATCGGTTTCGCGCGCAAGACATGTGACACGGGTACAAGGTTGATAGTTTCAAACGGAGGAAGTTGTAGATCTTGATCGAGGATATTAAACGGGGAATGAGACTCGTGTGGTTCTAAACGAAGGTTCTAATAGAAAGAAATAAAGATTCATTCGCGGCGTGTCCGCGTTTGACGTAATCGAAGGAGGAAATTCGATTTCGCTGGTATCCAAACTCGTTTTTCATCGAACATTGTACGTCCGATCTGACACGATCGGAGTACACGATCGACCGATTCGTTTTACTGTTCGATATTTGGTGTTACGGCATCGCACGATTTTTGAAACGAGACGTGTGAATTATCGTCCGATAAGTGCAAAGTGGCAGGATTACTGTTTCGACGATTTCTTTCCTCGGACGAACGTTGAAATTCGAACGAAATGAACAAGTCGAAGTGCGTGGCCCACTCATATTTCGACGCGAGGGATCACCCTGATTCGTGTTGCAAGCATACGCAGAAAAGGAGTCAGTCCTTTCTGGTTAGCAAGAGTAGCGGCAAGTGAGTATCTCGATTGAATCAATTTTTCTTTCAAACTTCCGGCAGACACTTGCAACACAAACATCCTTTGTGTAAAATAGTTCGCGGGATAGACTTTTCCCGACGATTGAACGGCAGACCGTGTCGCAAAAGAACGCCAAAGCACAACTTTCACGAAAATGTTCGACAGATCATTCTCTCATAGAAATCTTCTTAAGGAACCCGGAATTGTCCTCGAGCTACTATTCCTCGCCGACTTGTTACAAGCCGCCAAAGAACACGTCAGCGATTCACGACAGCGACAACGTGCCGTATCTCCAGAGAGACGTCTCTCGCTCTAAACCCAACCGGGATAAACACTGCTCGGGTTACTCTTCCAACTTCTCGTCGACGAGGAAAACCCACTACGACGACGAGCTGCGCAACATCGACAGTTTCAAGTTCACCGACGACAAATTGGGGGACTTTGCGGGAGGCCATGATGTGGTGGAAGATCAGGTCGAGCACGAAGTCGCAGGTCTATCTTTCAATAAATAAGTTTTCGCGAAGCAGCAATTTACAGAGAGAGAGAGAGAGAGAGAGA